ACAATGACCGAGCGATCGAGCATCGGTCTGCAGACTCGGTTCATCAAATCCATGAACACTGTTGGCGCATTGGTGAGCCCAAACGGCATCACCACGAACTCGTAATGACCATAATGAGTCCGAAACGCGGTCTTCTCCACGTCTTCCTCCCTCACCCTGACCTGGTGGTATCCTGATCTCAAATCAATCTTGGAAAACCAAGATGCACCCTGCAGCTGATCGAAAAGATCGTCTATCCTCGGGAGCGGATAACGGTTCTTCACCGTTAACTTGTTCAGCTCCCTATAGTCAATACACATCATGTGCGAACCGTCCTTCTTCCTGACGAAAAGGATCGGTGCTCCCCAGGGTGAACTACTCGGACGAATAAACTGCTTACCCAGCACCTCCTGCAACTGAGATGATAGCTCATGCATCTCGGGCGGTGCCAAACGGTACGACGCCTTGGCGATAGGGGCCGCACCTGGCACTAGATCAATCCTGAACTCAACCTGCCTCACCGGAGGCACTCCGGGTAACTCCTCCGGAAACACATCAGCAAACTCTCTAACCCCCGGGACCTCTGAAACTGAGAGCTGCTCTCTAACCCGCGTATCTACCACATACGCCAAATAACCGGCACACCTGTGCTGAATATACTTTCGAGCCCTGGTTGCCGAACAAAACCATGATCCCAACCTGGTGCCCTCACCATATACAACCAGTTCTCCCCCACTTGGGGTTCGAACCACCATCCGCTGTCCCTCACAGTCCATCATGGCGCCAAAACGGCTAAGCCAATCCATCCCTACAATCACGCATATATCCCCCATGGGGATAGGAATCAAATCTATCGGGAAGGACACCCCGAAAATCTCCAACTCGCATCCTCGGTAGACCGAAGAAGCAGAAACCCCGTGCTCGTTGGCGATCGAAACTTGCAACGGACACTCAAGATCATCTATCGGCACACTGAACCCTCTAGAGAAGGTCTGAGATACAAACGACCGACTCGCCCCCGAGTCAAATAATACCAAAGCGGGCAAAGAATTCACTAAAATGTACCTAACTGCAGGTACAATCAATAAGCATAACACAAATACAATAACTGAGACAGAGAATAGAAATGTACCAACAACTACATCCGGTGTTGCCTTGGCCTCCTCGGCCGTGAGCTGGAAGGCGCGACCCTGAGCCTTCGAAGGCTCCACCTTGACTGGCCTCCCATCTCCAATCCTCACAGTAGCTGGCGCGGAACCCTGCGCCGACTTGGCGGCGAGCTGCCGACAGTTGGTCTTCACATGACCAACCTGATGACAATGGTAACAAATCCTCATATCTGCGGGAGGGGCGGACTGACGGCAGTCCCTGGCATAGTTCCCCTCCTTGCCACATTTGTGGCACCCACCACCTGCTCTATAAACTCCCAAATGAATCCTGCCACACTTTCCACAAGTGCGGCTCTGCTAACCCCCAGACCGTGTATCAGCGGTCTTAGACCGCTTAGGCGCCGGCTGAGACTGTACCGGTGCCTGACGCTGCTCCTTCAGCTGCAGCTCTATCTCCAACTCACGCCGCCTCACGGCTTCCTACAGATCCAGGAGGGTATCAGATCCAGGAGGGACTGAGGAGCTGGATGCTGCTCCTTCAGCTGCAGATCCAGGAGGGTGCCTGGCATCCAGCTCCTCAGTCCCTCCTGGATCTGCAGCTGAAGGAGCAGCGTCAGGCACCCTCCTGGATCTGCAGCTGAAGGAGCAGCATCCAGCTCCTCAGTCCCTCCTGGATCTGATACCCTCCTGGATCTGCAGGAAGCCGTGAGGCGGCATGAGTTGGAGATAGAGCTGCAGCTGAAGGAGCAGCGTCAGGCACGGGCACAGTCTCAGCCGGCGCTTAAGTGGTCTAAGACCGCTGATGCACGATCTGGGAGTCAGCAGAGTCGCACTTGTGGAAAGTGTGGCAGGATTCATTCGGGAGTTTGTAGAGCAGGTGGTGGGTGCCACAAATGGGGCAAGGAGGGGCACTATGCCAGGGACTGCCGTCAGTCCGCCCCTCCCGTAGATATGAGGATTTGTTACCATTGTCATCAGGATGGTCATGTGAAGACCAACTGTCCGCAGCTCACCGCCAAGTCGGCTCAGGGTTCCGCGCCAGCTACTGTGAGGATTGGAGATGGGAGGCCAGTCAAGGTGGAGCCTCCGAAGGCTCAGGGTCGCGCCTTCCAGCTCACGACCGAGGAGGCCAAGGCAGCACCTGATATGGTTGCTGGTACGTTTCTATTCTCTGTCTCAGTTATTTTATTTGTGTTATGCTTATTGATTGTACCTGCGGTTAGGTACGTTTTTAGTGAATTCTTTGCCCGCTTTGGTATTATTTGACTCGGGGGCGAGTCGGTCGTTTGTATCTCAGACCTTCTCTAGAGGGTTCAGTGTGCCGATAGATGATCTTGAGTGTCCGTTGCGAGTTTCGATCGCCAACGAGCACGTGGTTTCTGCTTCTTCGGTCTACCGAGGATGTGATTTGGAGATTTTCGGGGTGTCCTTCCCGATAGATTTGATTCCTATCCCCATGGGGGATGTATGCGTGATTGTAGGGATGAATTGGCTTAGCCGTTTTGGCGCCATGATCGACTGTGAGGGACAGCGGGTGGTGGTTCGAACCCCAAGTGGGGGAGAACTGGTAGTATATGGTGAGGACAGCAGGTTGGCATCAGGGTTTTGTTCGGCAGCCAGGGCTCGACAGTATATTCAGCACGGGTGTGCCGGTTATTTGGCGTATGTGGTAGATACGCGGGTTAGAGAGCAACTCTCAGTTTCAGAGGTCCCGGTGGTTAAAGAGTTTGCTGATGTGTTTCCGGAGGAGTTACCCGGAGTGCCTCCGGTGAGGCAGGTTGAGTTCAGGATTGATCTAGTGCCAGGTGCGGCCCCTATCGCCAAGGCGACGTACCGTTTGGCACCGCCCGAGATGCAGGAGCTATCATCTCAGTTGCAGGAGCTGCTGGGTAAGCAGTTTATTCGTACGAGTAGTTCACCCTGGGGAGCACCGATCCTTTTCGTCAGGAAGAAGGACGGTTCGCACAGGATGTGCATTGACTATAGGGAGCTGAATAAGTTAACGGTGAAGAACTGTTATCCGCTCCCGAGGTTAGACGATCTTTTCGATCAGCTGCAGGGTGCATCTTGGTTTTCCAAGATTGATTTGAGATCAGGATACCACCAGGTCAGGGTGAGGGAGGAAGACGTGGAGAAGACCGCGTTTCGGACTCGTTATGGTCATTACGAGTTCGTGGTGATGCCGTTTGGGCTCACCAATGCGCCAGCAGTGTTCATGGATTTGATGAACCGAGTCTGCAGACCGATGCTCGATCGCTCGGTCATTGTGTTCATAGATGATATCTTGGTGTATTTGATATGGGCTTATTTAGTCATAGAAATCATTCATTATCTTATTAATTATTGTTGATTTTATATCATTTTATGGACAAAAGGTACTTAATTAGCTTAATATTTCAATTTCAGCAATAAAAGACATGCTCGGGTGAAAAAGGAAGAGGATTGGGTAATTGGAAGCTTGGAGATTAAAGATTAAGGAAAGAAGCTGAAAAAAAAAGGAACTCGACGAGTTAATAGCACAAACTCGACGAGTTGGTCAGAATATTCTCGATTTAAGGATGCCTTGCCGTACACGCTGTATGCGCGAATTACTGAAAAAAAAACTCGTCGAGTTATTCTAAAAAACTCGACGAGTTGGATCGATTTTTGGTAACTATAAATAGATATCTTCTATGCTCGAAAACCTAACTTTTACTGGAGGCTAGCTGCGACTTTTGAAGATCAGAAGGATTCTTGGAGCTGCTGTTTTCGAGATTTCAACACAAGAAACAATTTCAAAGAGAATCAAAGGCAAACAATCATTCTTCTTTTATTAATCTTTGCTTTGAACCATGTTTGAATCATTAGGTTTTGAAATTAGGTTATTACTTTCTGTAGATATGAGCTAAAAGTTTTTTACATCTGTTTAGATGAGATAATCTTATGAACATGGTTTGATTGAGTGGTTGAATTGATATTAATTTGGTTATTCATCTTGTTAAGCTTATTTAAGATCCTTATATATTGATGATAAATGTTTTTAGTTAACAAATGAGTGATTAAGTTGCATGAATATCTTCTTGATTACTTGATTCTTATAGTTTTGTGAAAACAAGATTGTAAGCCTAGGAATAGTGAATATGAAACTAGGGTTAACTAGGAAAAATGTAAATCAATGTGTAAGTATGTGTGATGAACAACCATACATGAATTGATTGAATTGAACAAATTTGATTAATTATTATTATAAGTCTTACTTGATACGAACTAAACACTAGAAAACTTGTTAATTTAATCACTTGATCACTGTTTAAACTAACTTGTCTACTAAAGGATTGGTAATAATGAACATGAACCCAATCGCATTAGGAAACGGTGACCATTGACATATTAATTCATTGCACTTACCACGAAATCAACCATAGAAATAAGTAAATCGAATCTGAATAGAAGTCTCTTTTATCATTGAATCTAGTTGTCCTTTCTTGTTCTTTTTAGTTGTTAATTGTCTTTGTTTGAGTGTTAAAGTGTTTGCTTAAGTTTCTAGTCTTGCAAAACTAGAGAAAAACCCCCCATTCTTTTATTAATTATTTTATTTAGATAATATTAGTATTAATCTTAGATGTTGCCGCTCCCTGTGTTCGATACCCTACTTGCTTAAACTAAACTTTTATCGATAGGTACACTGTCTGCGTGTGTTTGTTTTCATTTGAGTTTGTTAGGATTAAAACTAGTTTGTTTCACACACATCAGTATTCCAAGACCTGAGAGCAGCATGAGGAGCATCTCAGGGAGCTGCTGGAGGTTCTGAGGCGAGAACGGTTGTATGCCAAGTTCTCGAAATGCGAGTTTTGGTTACGAGAGGTCCAGTTCCTCGGACATCTTGTTAACCAGGAGGGGATTTTGGTCGATCCGGCCAAGGTGGAGGCGGTTATGCAGTGGGAGACTCCGAAATCTCCCTCAGACATCAGGAGTTTCTTGGGTTTAGCAGGGTATTATCGGAGATTCATTCGTGATTTCTCCAAGATTGTCGTACCCCTCACTCGTCTAACGAGGAAGGGGGTGGATTTTCGGTGGGGCCCTGAGCAGCAGAGGGCGTTTGAGACCCTCCGGCAGTGTTTATGCGAAGCACCGGTGTTGACACTCCCCGAGGGAGTTGAGGATTTTGTGGTATTTTGTGATGCATCCATCACAGGCTTGGGGGCAGTCCTCATGCAGAGAGGACGGGTGGTAGCCTATGCATCGCGGCAGCTGAAGCCACATGAGACGAGATACCCTACGCACGATCTTGAGTTGGGAGCGGTGGTTTTCGCTCTCAAGATTTGGAGGCATTATCTGTACGGGGTCCGATGTACTATATATACGGATCACAAGAGTTTGAGGCACATCATGGATCAGCCGAACTTGAATATGACGCAGCGCGGGTGGCTGAATGTGGTCAAGGACTATGATTGTGAGATCCTTTACCATCCTGGTAAAGCGCATGTGGTTGTGGATGCTTTGAGCCGCAAGTCAGCTGGGTCCTCTACCCCAGCCAGGTGTATGAGGATAGCGGTGGATTCCCCGCTGGTGGGTTTGATCAGGGATGCTAATATCGAGGGTATGAGGCCAGAGAACTGGAAGTTGGAAAGGATTAAGGGCGAAAGCGCCCGGTTTTTTCAGGATATCCGCGGATTGTTGACCCGATACGGTCGGGTTTGGGTTCCGATGTCCGGAGGGGTCCGACAGACAGTGATGGAGGAGGCTCATAAGTCTCGTTTTTCTATTCACCCGGGAGCCACCAAGATGTACCGTGATTTGAGTTCGAGTTATTGGTCGCCTGGTATGAAGCGAGATATCGCTTGGTTTGTTGAGAGGTGCTTGACCTGTAGGATGGTCAAGGCCGAGCATCAGAGGCCGCATGGCAAGTTGCAGCCTCTGGAGATTCCCATGTGGAAATGGGAACGGATCGCGATGGATTTCATCACGAAGTTGCCGAAGACGGCAAGGGGGTTCGATGCTATATGGGTCATCGTGGATCGATTGACCAAGAGTTCCCATTTCCTAGCCATACGGGAGAGTTCGTCGGCAGAGAAGTTGGCCGACCTGTACGTCAGAGAGATTGTCTCTCGCCATGGGGTTCCAGTTTCTATCGTTTCCGATCGAGATGTCAGGTTTACTTCCCGTTTTTGGCAGAAGTTCCATGAGGAACTGGGTACGCGACTGCATTTTAGCACGGCGTTCCATCCGCAGAATGATAGGAAGAGTGAGCGGACCATTCAGACCCTCGAGGATATGTTAAGGGCGTGCGTCATTGATTTCGGTGGGAGTTGGGATTCCCACCTACCGCTTGCAGAGTTCGCCTACAACAACAGCTATCATTCCAGTATTGGCACCCCGCCTTTCGAGCTGTTGTATGGGCGGAAGTGTAGGACCCCAGTCTGCTGGGGCGAGGTTGGGCACAGGGTGATGGGTCGGACAGAGGTAGTTCTGCAAACTACCGAGATGATACAGCAGATTAGACAGCGATTGCAGACCGCTCAGAGTCGGCAGAAAAGTTATGCCGACCGACGCCGATCTGAGCTGGAATTTCAGGTGGGCGACATGGTTCTCCTGAAGGTCTCACCCTGGAAGGGTGTGATCCGCTTCAGGAAGAGGGGAAAATTGGGTCCCCGTTATATATTGGGCCGTTCAGGATTGTTGCCAGGGTTGGCAGGGTGGCTTATAGGCTAGAGCTTCTGGAGGAGCTCAGCCGGATCCACAGCACATTTCATGTTTTGCAATTGCGAAAATGCATTATGGACCAGGAGGCAGTGGTATCGTTGGATGATATTCAGGTCGATGAGCGTCTGAACTATGTGGAGAAGCCTGTGGCTATTTTGGAAAGGAAGAAGAAGATTCTGCGGAACAAGGAAATACCTTTAGTAAAGGTACAGTGGGAGCATCAGAGGGGATCCGAGTGGACATGGGAGCCGGAGGCGGACATGCGCGAGCATTACCCGACATTGTTTATTCCAGCGGACTTCAAGGGCGAATTCTAGTTCAAGTGGGGGAGAGTTGTAACGCCCCGATTCTCAGGTATTATTTAAATAAGATTTATTGGGTTAAGCTCTACTCGACGAGTTGGTTGCCCTACTCGTCGAGTAGCAGCGGGGTGGGATCGCGTGTTAAGTGACCTACTCGACGAGTCCATATCGGGACTCGACGAGTAGGAGCTGGCAGATGAAACCCTAAATCCCGGGGTTTGCTCCCCTATTTAAAGGAGCCTTAGCCTCCCTTGGGCCTCTTTACAGTTCTAGAGAGTCCGTGAGAACTCTAATACGCGTGTGTGTGTGTGTTCCCATTGTGTGTTTGAAGCTTGAAAAGAGGATCTTTGGAGGGAGAAGGCTTGGAGGAGAAGGAGATTGGAGTAAGTAGAGTGTGGGAATCAACACCTATCTCAGTTATCATCTTCTGGAGGTAACCAAATCGGCTTTTTCCTTGTGGATCTCTTCTATTGGTTGAGTTTTAGGGTTTTTGTGGGAATATTAAGTTGGAAATAGGAGCTATGGGCTAGATCTGAGGTTGTAACTTCAGATCTGGACCCTCCTTGGATTCTAGAAGCATAAAGTTTCAGTTTTGGTCATGATTAAGGTCCCTCTTGAGCATGAAGCTCCATTAAGAACTTAAAATAGGCATTTAGAGCCTTTATAGCCATGCATGCACGTAAAGTTTGCAACTTTACGTGATAAGCATGCCCTAGAAGCTTGGATCTGTGATTTGGAGCCGCTGCATGGCTCAAAGCAAGTCTGTATGGAAAAAGGACTGAATGGACTCGGCGAGTCACATGAAGATGGTCGTGAACTCGGCGAGTTGGATGAACAACTCGGCGAGTCTGATGAAGATTACCATAAGACTCGACGAGTTGAAGAACAAATCGGCGAGTCGGATGAGTTTTCCCTAGGATATGTATGCGTGTGTATCCGTCGAGTTGCAAGGAGGGAACTCGACGGGTGGCCTTAAAGTTTGGACAAGAATCGAAGGAACTCGACGAGTCACCCCGATGACTCGGCGAGTTGGAATGTACTTCAAGGAACTCGGCGAGTTGGGGGTCAACATGGACTGTTGACCTTGACTGAGGACTTTGACTTTGACCAGGGGTTGACTAGTGGGTTATGGAGTACCTTATAAGGTTAAGGACTTATGAGTATATTGTACTATGATCATAGGTGGTGGAGCCTGTGTCAAGTGATCCGAGAGTTGGAGTTTATCTTCTGAGTTGACATCTGCAAGGTGAGTTATCCTCACTATATCGATAGGGTCTAGGGCACCAAGGCCGACCCTTTAGTTGTTATTGTTATGGTATGCTACATGTGGTTATGATCTGTTAGATCGGAATCAGGGTAGACAGTATGTTATGCTCTTATGATCCGTAAGGATTGGTATGTTAGTGACCTGCTAGGTCGGTACTCTAGTTATGAGAGAATTCTATGATTTATGATCAGTGAGATATATATGTTTGATGTTTGTGTATGCCAGTATATGATACTTATGCGCACATGGTTATTTGCTTGTTGGTTGGGTTGAGGCGGTCCTGCTTTGTGCTGAAGGCCAACATACCCTATGAGCGGTCCGGGGAGACTGCAGGCCCACGTGGCGGACCAGTCATGCCGAAGGCTCGGGATAGATTCAGATAGACTGTAGGCCCAGTAGGGCGGTCCAGTCAGGCCGATGGCCCAGTATACATGTTGATTGATTGATTGTTGCTGATATGGCATTGTCAGTGTGGTATTGGTATTTTGGGGGTAGCTCACTAAGCCCTCGGGCTTATAGTTTTCAGTTTATTGTTTCAGGTACTTCAGGAGATCATGGCAAGGCGAAGGCGTGACCGTACCGCTCCTCATCCTTATGTTATGATTTTGGGACACTCTGATGGATATTGATTTGAAAACATTTTTGTAAACGATGCTATTTGATTTTTAATTATGATTGAAAAAGTTTAAATTTGGCGCAAAATTTATGGATGTTACAAATTCCGTTTAAATTTGGCGCAAAATTTATGGATGTTACAAAATTCTTGCAACTCGACGGATACACACGCATACATATCCTAGGGAAAACTCATCCGACTCGCCGAGTTGTTCTTAACTCGTCGAGTCTTATGGTAATCTTCATCGGACTCGCCGAGTTGTTCATCCAACTCGTCGAGTTCACGACCATCTTCATGTGACTCGCCGAGTCAACCTTGCGACTCGCCGAGTCCATTCAGTCCTTTTTCCATACAGACTTGCTTTGAGCCATGCAGCGGCTCCAAATCATATATCCAAGCTTCTAGGGCATGCTTATCACGTAAAGTTGCAAACTTTACGTGCATGCATGGCTATAAAGGCTCTAAATGCCTATTTTAAGTTCTTAATGGAGCTTCATGCTCAAGAGGGACCTTAATCATGACCAAAACTGAAACTTTATGCTTCTAGAATCCAAGGAGGGTCCAGATCTGAAGTTACAACCTCAGATCTAGCCCATAGCTCCTCTTTCCAACTTAATATTCCCATAAAAACCCTAAAACTCAACCAATAGAAGAGATCCACAAGGAAAAAGGCGATTTGGTTACCTCCAGAAGATGATAACTGAGATAGGTGTTGATTCCCACACTCTACTTGCTCCAATCTCCTTCTCCTCCAAGCCTTCTCCCTCCAAAGATCATCTTTTCAAGCTTCAAACATACAATGGGCACACACACACACGTATTAGGGTTCTCACGGACTCTCTAGAACTGTAAAGAGGCCCAAGGGAGGCTAAGGCTCCTTTAAATAGGGGTGCAAACCCCGGGATTTAAGGTTTCATCTGCCAGCTCCTACTCGCCGAGTCCCGATATGGACTCGTCGAGTAGGTCACTTAACACGCAATCCCACCCCGCTGCTACTCGACGAGTAGGGCAACCAACTCGTCGAGTAGAGCTTAACCCAATAAATCTTATTTAAATAATACCTGAGAATCGGGGCGTTACATTATAGTAATGTTATTAGGACCTTATAATAATTATTTGGGTTATTATTATGAGTTATATAAGTGTCGTTATAATATCTTTTTAACCACTTGCGGTACGGGGAATCTGGTTTAAAGGGCTGCATAGGGTTGTTGGATTTCAGAAGTGCTATATGCCAAAATGGTCCTGCCCTCCGGTGTTTTATGTCTGGTCCCTGTCTGTACATAATGGGTGAAGAGTATTGTTTAACGCTTATATAATAGTAACAATAGTTAGACTATTAATTAGTCTCAGTGAATATTAGACTAAACCCTAGAGGTAATGATACTAGGTTTTATCGAAGGAAATTGTTTTGAGATAACGAAGTGTTGTCCAAGTACCAAGTCACCACCTTTTCAAGTGAGTGCATCGTTACTTTCATCTTACACATAGATATAGGGCTGTGCATGGGTCGGTGTTGGATCCAAACCCAACCCAACCTATAAATGGTCGGTTTCTTGTTTTCAGTACCCAATAGGATCGGTTTCTGGTCGGTTCGGTTTCTCGGGTTCTGAGGTCGGTTTTACGGTTTCTTGGGTTCAACCCATATACTCACGGGTTCTGGGTTTAAACCCATGGGTTTTGGGTTTTAACCCATTTTCTATAAACGAAAAAAATAAGCTAAATACTTAAAAAAAACACCAAATTGAAGTTAAATACTTCAAAAAACATGAGTCTTACAACAAATAGTCTATTACAAGTTACAACCAAAGCCCGAAATAGTCTATTACAACAAAAACACAATCAAGTATCGGTGGTTTCTCGGGTTGGATGGGTCGGTTTCTTGGGGCGGTTTGTCGGTTTTAAGTATGGGTCGGTTTCTCGGGTTGGATGGGTCGGTTTCTAGGTAAAAACCGAACCCGATTTTTCGGTTTTTAAAAATATCAAACCCTAACCATCGGTTTTGCTTCGGTTTCGCTTTTTTCGGTTCCGGTTTCGTCGGTTTTAGTCGGTTTCTCGGTTTTATGGTTTGGGTTTGCTCACCCCTACATAGATATGAAGTATTTTATATAAACTATGTGCTATGTGTGCATATTATCTGTATATTTGCTATCTATGCTGGATGAACGATTTTATACAAGTTTTAAATGATTTAAGCTGTATATGTATTTTATATCTATGAATATGTTGGGTAAAACATGGGTAGATGAAAGATGAGAGATGAAGGATGATATGAGTGAACATAGGCAGCTATAGACTTAGTGCCTAATAAATAACATCGACAGCTATGGACTTAGTGCCAATTGAATAAGCGCTGGTAGCTATGGACTTAGTACCTGTTAGATAAACGTTGGTAGCTATGGACTTAGTACCTGTTAGATAAACGCTGGTAGCTATGGACTTAGTACCTGTTAGATAAACGTTGGTAGCTATGGACTTAGTACCTGTTAGATAAACGTTGGTAGCTATAGACTTAGTACCTAT